TCTGTCCGTACTTATGCAAATGTGCTAATTACGAAAGCAAATAAGAACAACCAAATGGGAGACGCATCGTATTTGCGCGTGAAGATCTTATCGGGATTTTGAAGATAAATACAAAGTTCAAATACCCCGAACAAGTTGCAGTCACAAAAAAAAAGTGAAATAAAAAAAATTCACGAGAACTTTATTGCTCTGCTAGGCGGCTCAAAGTGTGTGGTATATATATATATATATATATGTATGTACATATGCATCAAGAAAGTCATATGTATGTCATATGTCAAAAAAATTATCACGTGATTTCTGAACGCCCCCTTAGAAGATATACAAATCTTGCAGAAACGTTGGATGAAGCTTATCGCTTTACTATTTTGGATAATAAAATAACCTTTACCTGTGAAATTGCTTTTCTCTGCTACGTTTACTAAAAGTAAAAATACCTCCGAATACAATGTGGGGTCGACTTCTTAAAGATCTTTCCGATTGAAAACTGACGGGGCATTTTCAATTTCGAATTGCTTTTGTCTTTCTCCTTAAACTGAACATGACTGAAAGTAATGCATGCAGTCATATCATATCTGTGGACTTTTGACAAAACAACCTCTGTGCTTTCTGTAGGTTGGCATTTAGAGCAAATTATAAGGAACTTCCATTTAAAAATTTAACATTTTTATTTAACTTTCATTAAGATATCATCTTGGACTACACCTATTAATGACTAAACACAAAAATAACATTCGAGAACTCAATGAATTATTGCTTCGAAGAGAAAATGATCTCACTCGAGAGAAGTTGTTTTGTCAAATGTCCACAGATATGTACATTCATACACACTGTACGGCAAAATCAACTTTTTTTCTGGGTATTAGACCAAACCAAAGTTTTTTAAGGGATTGAGTCCTAGGTAAAAAAGTGATTTCTCCGTTTTTTAAAGTTAGCCTCCGAAATCGAGATATGGGCCTTCGAATTTCGAAATAGGACCTTTGATAAAAAATTATATTTAATTATTGCATGTAAATAACTAAAACCTAAAACTATAGACGTAGTTCTCCTCCTGCTCTTATTTAAATGGTATATAACTTTTGTGTGCAAGCTTATATTACCGGTGCTATAAGGGGTCAAATTTCAGGTCTTCGAAAAATTAAATTCCTTATATTTCAAACAATTTTGAACTGATTTATAAAAAATTGGTATGGTTGTAAAGAGGATTAAATCCCCTTTCTTCTGGTATGCATATTTGTATACTTTGTATATAAAAATTTGAGAAAAAACACATTTAAAGGAAAAAATACTTTTTTTTAAACTATTTTAAACAAAAAAATTATTGAAATATGCATATCACAAGAAAGGGGGTTAAATCACCTTTACAACGATATGAATTTTTTCAAAATCTTCTGAAATATTAAGTTTTTAATTTTTCGAAGATCTGACCTTTGACCCGTTATAAAACCTGTAATATAAGTTTTCACAAAAAAAAGTTATATACCATATAAACAAGAGCAAAAGGTGGACCGCGTCTGTATTTTTACTTTTTTTGCTTTTTACATGCAAAAATTAAAAATAATTTTTTACCTAAGGTCCAATCTCGAACTTCGAAGGCCCATATCTCGATTTCGAAGGCTAACTGCGAAAAACGGAGAAATCACTTTTTTACTTGTGACTCAATCTCTTAAAAATCTCTTGGTTTGGTCCAATACCCAGCCGAGTGCTGTACAGTGTACATTGGAATACATATACCGGAAAAGTTATTGCACTTTATAACGAAATTCGGATGAAGGCTTAGCGCAATTTGCATAATATTCGCATTTACCTACAAAAAAGGCCTAAATGCATAAGCAAGTCATGAACATCAAAAATGACAAACAAATAGTTGGGCAATAATAATAAAATGCACTTAAGTGCGAAAAAGTTCAATACGAAACGGTGTATGTGTAATTGGCTCATAATATTAACTTAGCGACTATGCTTGGTAATGACACGGTAACCAGGCAATTAAAAATAAAGCAATCAACATAAAAACATTAAAGAGTACCATAACAACAAAAAGTGGCCGAATTGTTTATTTACAAGCAACAAACAAAATACTGAGCTACGCACTCACAATAGTTTGGTGTACATACATATAAACAAAGCCCGTGGAAAGCTTTATTGGGATATTCTGAGTAAAAATTGAGTGAAAAGCTGAATAAATATATGTACATACATGCGTATAAACAATCGAAATATTTATGTATGTACCAGTGCTGTCAACTATTTTCGAGTAAAAAACTCCAGATTTTTATAAAAACCCGCTAGAAAAAAGCTAAATTCCAAAAAAACAAAATACTTATAATTTTAAGCAATTCATTTGAAACATTACGTGAAATTAAAATTAATAATCGAATAATACAGTTGGGATCGAGGTTCATCAGAAATGAGAAATAAGAATATAACTACATATGTATATATATGTAAGTGTGTACTATTGCGTAGTTTTGTTTTCACCAAGTTTAGCTGACTCGAATAAAGTTCCAGGTCTGCATTAGACAAAGGTAGTGAAAGTAAATGCAGTGTAAATTCCGCCAGATCGGAAAACAATTTGTTGCCACCTGCATCCGTATAAGTTTGAACTTCTGCCCAAAATTGATTGTATTACTTATATTATTCCATTTTACTAAATTACTTCTATTATACTGAATTATTATTTTTCTATGATATGATCACTGTACTTAAAATGTTTTATAACATATTCTATCTCCTCGTGCGATGTCCGTAAAACATTGCCCACTGGAAACATATTCGGCCCTATTACGGTTGTCGACGTCGATGTCACTTTTTCGACAAAAACCAGCTACGCTGACCACATTTTTTTGCGGGAATGTACTCCTCGCAAAACTACTGTGGTTAGCGAAACCACAGTTCGACTGATGAGGGACAACCATAATAAGGCCGATTATCTTTTTTATTCGTATCGAAATTATGTAGTCATTTTAGATACATATGTAAACCAATCAGGTGATACATAACACACACCCCTAATTGTGCTTGAAAGTCGTCACTTCGATAATCACTTCACTTTTTTTTCCAAGTCACTCCGAAACACTTCACTTTTAGTGTGTTTTCACTTCGCTCGAAAATTAGAAAACGGCTGCACTGGTATGTACTATATTGTATAAGGAAAAAAGCTAAAAATCCTTAAAAAAATCTCAAAAAGCTGGATTTCCCGCTTCCCGCAATTTCTCATTTCCTGCCGCTAAATGGATTTCAGATTTTACGGGGAAAGAGCTAAATTGGTACGTACCCAGCCAGCAGAGAAACGTAACATTTGTCGACAGCGCAGTCTCGTAAAATTTTCCGTGAAACGAACAGAAAACGACTAAAATTTTCGTTCATTTACGTATCCAAGAAATTCCAAAAAACTACGCGGTGTTTCTTATCCAGAAGCTTATAGAACAATTATCATTCATTTTCGTAACCGGAAAACGTTTCGAACGGTGCTGGGTTTGAATTCCGCCAGCCGCTGCCTTAATTTTTTTTTTCCAACTATGCAAAAGCATTTGTGAAATGCAGAAGGAAAGCGTATGGAACAAAAAATTCAATCAGACAAATTTCAGAAAAACAGCCAAAAATGTCCCCGTTTCAAAATAATTTTCGGTACTTGTCTGCACATACGTTTCTGCCACACACGAAAACGGATCTAGAAAGTGTCCGAAAATGGAAGCAGTAAACGAGCAAAAATCCGCATTTCATCCACTTTTTTTCCTTTTTCGAAAGGGATTTTCGGATTTTTTTCTGGCTGGGTACGTACAAATTTGCATCATGTCCCATTACCCGAAATGCTCGCATCGCAGCTGATTATAACAAAATTGAGTGATTCCAGAGAGCATTAAACACAAAATATGAGAGCGCGATTGAGTGAATTGGGCACCGAACGCCGGTTGTGAATGGTAATAGAGTTGCCTGGCCAACAGATCAAACTCAGCGTTGATGGCTTGCGGTGGCATTTGGCTGTGCCTGCGGTTCGAAAGTCAAGTGTTTGTTGTTGGCTTGTGACATTTGGCGCGTGAATAAATAAATATTTTCCGGCCGTGCAAACAGCGAAAGACCAACGGGGAGACCAGTGTTAAGAATAAAAGTAAATATTTACAAGAAAATATATTATTTATGTACATACATATGTATGTATATGAGAAGTACACAGAGTGGAGTATGAATTTGTGTACATATGTATATACACATGTATGTATTTGTTTAAAATATGTAGCAGCCAATTGGTGTTATCGACTGATATGCCACTATTGATATTTAGAATTATACCAACTCATCCAAAGTGCTGTAACAAGATTATAGAGGCAAAATGTATAATGTACATCAGTGTGTCGAGTCGGTACAATAAAGTTAACTGCAAAAGATATAGCATTAAATCGAAGCACGATATTTGTTGCCCTCCAAAAAGTGTAACAGTGTAACAAATTATTTGTGTGAATTCAAAAAAAAAAAAAAAACATGGCAATAAATTTTATATCGCAACGAATTTGTAATAGCAAACGCCTATTTTAAAATTCAACAGTTGCGATTTGCAGGGAAAAACATCATGTTAACCTTGAAAAAGTTCAATCGCGATTCGCCTAATTTATGCTTATTTTTTTGCATTCAAATTCCAAGCGCAACTTAGTTACGAAGAAGGAAAAATTAAAGAAATAAAGAAATGGTACGAAAAAAGAGTTAAAATGTTAAATATGTAGATTAGCTGAAACGAAGTGAGCAGCAGTAAAACAATAAAATAGAATAAAAGTGGAGTAAAATAAAAATATACAATACAATAAAATACAATAATTAAAAATTAATAAAATAAAACCAAACAAAAAAAATTAAAATTAAAATTAATTATATTAAAAGAATATTAAAATTTTTTACAATGGAATCGAAATTTTTTTTTATGAAAAATAGAAATTTTTCAAAATAAGCTTAACGCTGATGTTGTGTTAAGAAAGAATTAACAAATTCATATAAAAAAGATGTTGTTCAAGAGTGCAAAAAAAAAAAACAAAAACCCAGCAGATGCTGCTGCTATGAAATTGAAGCAATTGTATGATGAAAAAAACATAAAAATATTAAAAAAAAAAACGATACAAATTCAAGGCCAAACTGCTTGCTACCACTCCATTGCTAGTTGTTAATTAAGCGTCAGTGGCTGCCGCGTCTTTGCTGCTGCGCTGGTTGCTATATCACCTTTACTATGTTATTTTGTATGTAATTCTACCTCATGTTCTCAGCTTCTTGTTCATCTTCTTTTTCTTTTCCAAATTAGCTACCTTTTTCGCTTGATTCTTTGCTTTATTCAAAGTTTCTTCGATTTAGCTTTGAATGTGTTCTACGCATATACATACATACAACAATACATATGAGTTGAATAACCGTTTGATGGATGTATGTGGTGTGGTGCGATGGTGTAACATTATACTTTTATGAAGAAGGTGTATCTGCGGGAGTGTTGTGTCGCGAAAGTGCTAAACGAGTTTCTTATTTGGAATCGGTGGACCGTAAAAGAAATGCTCACATTTTGTTCTAAAAAGTGAAATCTCAACAATCTAAAGAATTACAACATTTTAAGGAGAATCTAGTGAAGTTACCCCATTGAATATAGTAATAGATATATGTATGTAGGTAGAGTGATATACAATATCAGACATATCATTTGCAACAAAATTCAAAATGTTATTGTTTGCTACTTATGTATGTTTATTTATTTATTTTTAATAATTTGCATTTAAAATAAAGTTCGATCTATAACAGAAACCACACAAATAAAAGTTTCAGAGCTTGTACAAAGTTCACAAAAATTAAGCAAACTTAAAAAAATGTGCATCAAAATTTCAACTTTTTTATGCAGGATTTTTAGGCTACCCATTCAATCTTAGTAGGTACAATAAAGTGAAACTTTCAAGCTACCAAAGATTACCCTTGATTTTTTAGAATTTTTTTCCAGGCTGACGGGGTGTGGTGGTGTTTATGCTGGTCCTTAGGTAGACAAAGTCCTTCAATACTTCAAAGTTATAACTGCCAACAATGACGTGTTGCTCTGTCTTGCATTCATTCACCGCTAGGCCAATCTCTTTAGCTTATTTTTCTAAGCTGGAAAATGTTGCGCGTAAGTCCCTAAATTTCAGGCCGACGGTGTCGATATCATCTTCATACGTCGGCAGCATCGTTCTTTTGCTATATATGGTGTCGTTGCGATTCAGATTGGCATCTCTTATTACGCTTTCCAGCATCACATTCAAAAAAGTCGCACAAGAGTGAATCGCCTTGTTTAAAACCTCGTTTGGGAGAGGTCCTTCCCAATCAATCACAAATTTAGACATGTTGTCATAGAGGCAGCTTCTCTCCACGCTATTCAAAAAGATGGTGTGTGTCGATTTGCATATTTAGTGTCTTCGCGAGGATTTGACGTGCAGTGAAAATCTGGTCAATGGGGGACTTTATAGGTCTGAAGCCGTATTCATCAAACACAATTGAATGGAAAATTCTTACCTTCGCGCAATTAGACTGAGGAAGCATTCACACAGCAGCATTCACACTTGATTCATAATTACACAACCTTTTCGGGTCAAAAAATTTTGACTTATTCCTTAAACTCTACATTTTGTACACCCTAGAGGCTTTAACTAGCTTTCCCGCGACCAAAAGCTTTGCAAAAAATGTAAGTTCGTTTCTTGAATTTTGTCGTATTTTTGCTACCTATCAACAAGATCCACCAAGAGCTAAGTAAAGCTTAGTTTTTTATACCCGAGCGCACTTGTGCACAAGGGTATATGTATTAACTTTGTTCACATAACGGTTGTTTGTATCAGCCAAAACGAATCGATATGGATATAGACAAATGTATACATAAATGCTCAGAATGAATAGAGTAGTCTATTAAGCCATGTCTGCCTATCCGAGCAAAAATTTAGATATCTCAACGAAATTCGGTATGTAGGTTGCCCTTTATCCAAAGTAGGTTAGTATTGAAAATGGGCGAAAACGGACTATAACCACGCCCACTTCCCATATAACGGTATTTTCGAAAAATACAAGAACTACGATATTTCAGTAAATATTGGATCCAAATTGTTGAAATTAGTATGTGGAGTCGAATTTTTGTATTATGAAATTTTTGGCAAATGGGCGTGACCCCGCCCACTTATAAGGAAATGCTGTATCTCAGTAGCCGCTTCACTAATCGTTACCAAACTCGGTACGAGCCTTGCCTAGGATCTAGCTAAGACATTTGTTGAAAATCTTTCAAATAACCACGCCGACCTGCCATATAACGGTAATTTACAAAAACACGAAAACTGCGATAAATCAGCAACTACTGAAGCTAATTCACTTAAAATCGATTATTCCAATAACCACTTAGCATAAAATTAGATTGTTATAAATTTTTGGATAATGGGCGTGTCGCCGCCCACCTCTGACCACAAATGTGTATCTCGGTAACCGATTTATAAATTTCTACTAAACTCGGTGCACTTAATAACCTTGGTACAAAAAAGCATTTCGTTGAAAATTATTCAAATCGGGTTAAAATTACACCCGCTTTCCGTATAACGGTAAATTTCAGATATATGAAAGCTCCGATGTTTCAATAACTGAGGACGCTAATTTACTCCAAATTAATGTTTACAGAAATCTCTTAACAATAAATAAAACTGCTATAGACTTTTAGGAATTGGGCGTGACACCGCCCACTTTCTGACAAAGGTGTATCTCGGTAACCACCTACTATATCGTTAAGTCTAACTCAGCATATAATCGAAAACGTTTGAAATCTGGAAAAAAACACCTCTGCTTATCATGCAAAGGTAATTAGAGAAAGTTGAAATGACGATATTGATACCTGCGTCGGGTATATAAAGTTCGGTTTCGCCCGAACTTATGCTCATTTACTTGTTTCTAGGTAAAGCCCTACAATTAAAAACTTGTTTGCATTTATTGGCACATTTTTCTGACTTAAATTTCAAATAAAAAGTGCAACATCATTTGCCATTAAAAATGTTATCTCATGATACCCCAATAACTATCATTGCAACATCGTGAAAAATAATAAATAAGGCAAAGCATGGCATTAGTAACACACTTAACCAAAAAATGTGTTGTTGATGGTTCACAATGCTCCCGGCCTTTTACAGCGTACCAGTCAACTGCACCAATCGAAGCAAAAAGCAAAATAAAACAACAAATAACTACAAGTCATTTTCACAAGTTTTCCAATCGCCAACAACAATCAAAGACGTAATCGTTGTCTGATAGATACTTGCAACAACAACATAAGCAGCTATTGGTGTGCAGAAACTCTGTAAATACCTGACGGGCAAGGGCGGATGCAGTAAGAGTGGACTAGCGCAGAAGCCATATCTATAACATATACATACATATGTATTTATATACAGCATCCATGTGGTTATAGAGGGCTTACAAATAAGTATGCTGGTATGTATGTATGTATGTGTTATAAACGTTTGCTGCCATCAGTAGTGCAACATGAGTAATAATGCCAGAGAAAAGAAGTCAAACCGCCATAGCCAATTACCGTTACAGCGGGTGTCGAACAGCTGTTCGAAACATGTTGCAATGCATAATATGCAAACAGAGCATTGAGCGAGCGCAAATCAAGCGAAAAAATGCCGGTTTTCGTTTACAAACCATGCATTCGCCGACTTTGCTCCAGGCGCGCTGCAGTGTTGTGCTTGGCGCGACACATCTGGCTACTACCCACTTTCTTGACTTGCCTTATTTATTTACAGTTATGCAATTTTTTCTTGATTTGCCATTTGATTACATTTGTATGTACACACATAGTATGTACATATGTATGTACCATAGGGTGGTCCTTAAAATCAAATGAACGATTTTTTCAGTCTCACCCCCTCGATCGGTAATACCACGGTCACGGATACCACACACATATACATTTTGGTCCCGATTGGAGACGGTTAAGGCGTGTCGCATAGGGGGCAAAGTACAGATGCCTCTATAGAGACTCAAAAAATTAAAATACATTTTTTTCATCTAATACCGAAAATCGATACTACTATAATCAAAGATATCACATATAAATTTTGGTCCCGATTGGAGTCGGTTAAGGCG